TGTTCCTCTAATTTGAGTCATTCACTCGGTGTTAAGACCAACGCTGGGCTTCAGAGAGGAGTGAGTGCCCTCTCTCTGGAAAATGCCATCAGTATTTTAGCGTCCATTGTTTTAACCAAACTCACACACTGTAGTCAACTGGAGGGTTCAGACGTTTGCAGTGATTCCTTAAAATGTAAGAAACTGGCACCAGAAATAAATAAAAAAGGCAAAACATGGGTGCAACCACAACCCTTAAAATGTACCAGATTGGAAGAATGTGAAAATCTTCGGGTGACTTTATTGCTCTGATGCATCTCTTCTTTAAGATACCCTGTACAGTTGTTTTCTTAAGAGAAGCATTATGCCTCCCTCACACAGTTACCTGAACAGGGACAGGTGAACTCTCAGTCTATGCAGACTTAGTTAGGTCTGAAATAGAGTCTGGAAAGCTGGGCCGCTCCAGCTCTGTGTCTATTAACCAGACTGATTGAATAACCGTCCCGAGGCCTGGTTGTGACTGATGCCTTAAGTCTTTGTTTTTGAATTATGAAGCCTGCATTTCCCAGCCTGTGCTCTGATACTATACGCACATTAAAAGCCAGGGGATGGTGGAGAGATGTGAGGACAGCTTCTCTCTCTTCCTGCACATCTTCACTCTGTATTTCCCCTTCCTCTCCGCTTATGATGATTAATGGGAACCCGAACCCTGCGCTGACATATCGCTCGCTGTCATTCTTTGCTATCCCCTTCATCTTTTTCATCCCTCCTTTCCTTGTCCTTCTCTTATCTCTAACTCCTTGTTTTTGTCTTCCACAGGTCAGCTTTGCTTTATCACGCTGCAGGGCATGTGCATTTTGCTGAGGCTGAATGATTTTGCGCACACAGGAGTGATCCAGTACGTTTCGCTCCAACATGTGATATGTAATCTGTCTACAGAGTGAAGACAGTTTTAACAGCCGCCGCCGCTTAATGCCAAAGCTAAACCGCTCCTCTGTCAGTTCAGGGGGCCAGGCGAGCTTAATGTAGCTTCTGAGGAGGAGCTGAAGCACGGATAAGGAGTTGAAAGTGTGTGAGAGTGTGTGAGTGTGTGTGTGAGTGTGAATATTGTGCCAGGACTGCAGTAATCAGCCCGACCCAGCCCAGACTCTCTTTGAAGCTGCTGCAGGCCAACACTGCAGAGCATCACACTGACACATGGAGGCCGATATGACACTGAATAACAAAAGCTCACAAAAACAGAAACAAACCATATTTGATTTTTTATTCATAATCCAAGCCCCCTGTTCTCTCAGTATAAATATTAATACACGATATTGTTCTTTCCTGGGAGAGTCTTCCAGCACTCTGACAAGATGCTGCTTGGAGACCACTTCACTGTTGGCCTGGAGAGTGAGTAGACGACCATGTTTCCTCTATAATTCATGTGTTTCCAGCCACTTATATTCAACTCTGGACTGTGGATCTTATCCAGCGAGCTGAAATGCACAAGAAGTGTCATGTTTCCTTCCTCTACGAGACGTTCTTGTCTAGTTTGAGCCTCTGCTTCCCAATAGAAGATTTTGATCATTTGAAGCCTGCTGAAGCCGACCCACAGCAAACTGAGATGGAAGTCATTTTCCATCCATCCCGCCCCTGTATGTTTCAATTTATCTGTCAGGCTGGAATCAGGAATTGATATCGATTTATCCTGAGGGCATTAGTGTGTGTGTGAGAGGCAGTGAGAATAGGAGGCAGACAAAAGGCCAAGAGTGTGTCAGGTTGAAGAAAGACAGCTGACAGACTATCAGAGGCCATGTTGATTCCTCCCCCGCCTTTTCAACTTTCTGCCTCTGCTCTCTAAGGGCATCACGACACGGGCGATAAAGCAGCACAAGCAGCACACGTGGACAGCTGTAGGCCTTTATCCTGCCAGCGAGAGGGGGGCTCGATTCAGGGGTGCAGAGGGCATGTCTGTCCCGAACCTAAATCAACCCTGTTACAAGCGAGAGTGAGGTCATGGCTTTATAATGAGGCTCCCTCAGCCACACACTGTGACAGTGAGTGAGGAAACATCCGTCTGAAGGAGTTTGTGATATACCTAAATGCAAAGACCTGCACGACCTCGACCACATGCAGCCCAATGGCTCCTTTAAGTGTTTGTGTTTTACAAAGATATTTTCTCTTTTTTTTTTTTTATTATTAAAGTTTATTTATAAAGCACTTATCAAAACCAACGTCACAAAGTGCTTTACAGAAAAAAGAAAAATCCCAACAGTCAAATACACAACAATAAAATCCTATTAATAAAAGCATGAAAAATAAAACAACAGGGCAGCAATCATCCAACTAACAGAGAAAAGAGAAACAAACCGAGACAAAGATTGGCTAAAGTTAACAGTAAAACAAATGAAAACATCCTGGATGAAACAAAGATCATAAGAAGGAAAAATGTGTTTTTAAAAGAAGATACTGATGTAGCTCGTCTGAGATGTAGAAAAAGAAAACCTCAATAAAAAGCTAGAAAATATTTGACCCCGGCTATGATCAGATACCAAAATGTGTTAGAATCCAACACTTTAAGACCCCTTCAAGATCTTTTTTAGAGAGATAAAAAGTGGGTTACACACTATATATACCTGTCACCTGCAAATGAATTGTATATTGTATACTATATCGTATTATTTAATTGTATTTCTTATTTGAACATTTGGTTTTAGTATTTGTATATTTCTGATATTAGGCATCTACAGGATTGCTCCAACAATATTTCGTTGTACTTGCAGAGTGACATTAAAGATATCTTATCTTATCTCATCTTACAAGATATCCAGGTAGATTTTGGGCCCAATTCTCCCCTTTGAACAAAACTTAGCAGAGTCCTGATTTGTTGATGGTTCTTAAGATGATCCAGCCTGATTCTCCTTTAGTATGAGATATGTTAAGAGTGATCTGATATCCTCTGGAGAACAATGGGGCCACATCAGTTTCAAATCTTAAATATTAAACATGTTTAATATTTACAATCCAATATCCTGTGATGTGAATTATCACATAAACGATAGCCAATTGGGACGAGCGCTGACTGAAGAAGGAAGCACAACAACTGCAGCAAATCAATTTAAACTCACCTCCAGCTCGTTCTACACGGACAGCCCGTGTCCAGGCCGTTATTACAACTTCAACCAAAGTTTTTTTTTTTTTTTTACATTTTTCTGGGTGATTTTTCAGGACAAAAATAGCCCAATTCTTCCTGCCTGTTGTCGGCCATGTTTGTTTACTCTAAAGTCACGTTTGACTTCAAGACATTTTGAAGATTTCCAGAGTTTTCAGTCGACACTCATGGATGTTCATGAAGTGAATCTTTTGGTGTGGTGGGCTGCTTAGTTCACACACTATTGGAACAAAACACTTAAATCTATCATTTTTTTTGATGTCATGTATCTTATATTTCTAACATCTGGTCAGATTTTATAACTCTTCTCGTGTAGGCCGGCCTTAAGACAGACGAAACATTTTAAACCTAAATAGAAAGTGTCAATTGAAATACAACTTAAAGCTTAAACTTAACTTAAAATACAAATTATAAAAAGAGTAGATATAAGTGGACAGTGATCGGACTAACAGATGTAAACAAAACTATGTGCAGTAAACGAGAAATAAATATATATATATATACAGAGCTATGTGCAAGTAGGCAAATACTAAATGATAAGGAGGAGAGACTCTCCTCCTCGAGCAGTTGAAGTGAAAAAAGTCAAACTAGACGACTTCAAGACATCAAATGTGAGCCCAACAGGTTTTAGAGTTTTGACAAAACCCCGACCTATAAAACCTGTCATCACTCACTCAGTGTGACACCTTAAAGAGCTTTAATCATTAAGGACTAGATAAGTTCTCACTCCTCAGAGTCACTCTCAGCAGCCTGAGACTAAAGAGGTTTTAGTCTGAGTTGCAGTCCCCCTCTTCGTGGAGGACCACAGGACAATTTGTCATGTCTTCATGGACATTAGCATACAAAGTCCCCTGCACTGCATTCCTTGGCAGACCTCGTCACTGTCCAAACTCAGGACTGTGGACAGGAGAGAAGTCCCACGTGATGTTTTTGCCCAGGTCACGGTCCAGTGCCACTGACGAGTGCGTCCCCTCCTTTCTACATGGCCCCCCCTCCTTCCCCTCTCCTACAAGCATTTATCTCTCTGCATGGTTTTGGCAGGGATGTGCTTTTCCCAGCATTTAGCCAGGAGAGGGAGAGAGGAGAGAGGAGGGGAGAGGAGAGGGGAGAGGAGAGGAGAGGGGAGAGGAGAGGGGGCCCTTTTCAAGCGGGGAATGACGGACGCTTTATTAAAAGAGGCAGGACCCTTTGAGAGGCTGGCCCCTCCGTGCTCCCCCCCACCCCGTGTGTCTGGCCCATTGTCACGGGGCGGTGGCAGCAACCACCCCCCCACCCCCCCGCGCCATGCGCTTTGTCACTGTAAGTCACCTCACAGACTGAAAGAGACCCACTTTGAAAAAAAAAAAGAAAAAACACACACCCATTCTCCACAGTAACTCTCCGCTTTTCTGGATTCGGACTAAAAAAAAATAATAATTGTGCGGCTGTCAACAAATATACAGGAGACACAGAGATGGGCGTGACGTTGTGGGGGAAGAAGGGAGAAAGGAGGGGAGAAAGTTGGGGTGACACCGGGGGGTGCAACAAAAACCTGAAAGGTGGAGAGTCAAACATAGAGACCGATGGAGGAAAGAAGAAGGGTGAGGAAAAGATGGAGATGAGAGAGAAGAAATATAAAACGAGAAAGTGAAGTTAGAGAACTTCTAAAATGAGCGCGGCTGCAGAGTGGTGGGATATGCATTTGTTTTTGTCTGGGGTGTGAAATGTGTCTCTCTAGATACAGGCAGCATTCCTCCAGAGATAAAAAACCCTGTGCCCCCCCTGTCCCCCCGTCCCCCCACCCTCCACAGACTCTCCACCCACCATGCCTACTCAAGTGTGTGTGTGTCAGAGAGAGAGAGAGTTTGGGCGTGTGTACACTTGTGTGTCTGTGTTGGTGTTTACGTTTGACGAGGGTCTGCGTGCCCTGCGCTGCAGAGCTCACAGGGGAGGGGGGGGGGCAACAGAAAAAGACAGCCGGTGTGTTTGAGAGACGCAGGAAAAAAAGTTAAGAAAGCGAGAGTGGAGGGCCAACAGGCATGCCAGTCAAGACCGTCACTTTTGGAGTGAGTACCACCATCTCTGCTTCTCTCCTCTCCTGCTTCCTTCTCTCCTCTCCTGTCACTCCCTCTTGTCTCTTCATATTACCTCCTCCACCTGTTTCTCTCTAACACTCTTATTTATTGCTGTTTTTTTATTTTTTCCTTTTCAATGTTTTGTTCTGTTAAAAAAGAAAAGAAAAAGAAAATCCTTGCTTGCATTTATTCAGATGTAACGCACCTGCCAAGGCTCCCTGTCTTTCCCTTTTTACATCAGAGTGGAGGGCCAACACCTCTTGTCACCGTCTTTTCTCCCAGCTTTCTCATATATTTACTTTGTAAGACGTACGTTGACCTAAAGGCGTTTACACTTTGTCTATTTAGTTCAAACTAATCGTTCATTCAGCTCACGCCTCTCTCTCTGTGTGTGTTTCCTCTCGGCTTCGCTAAGTACATGTTCTTGTTCTCCATCCGTCCACATGAGCTGTTTGGAAAATCGTCTCTTTGCTTTTGTTTGTGTTCTCTGCCCTGGACGGGATCTCGTTTTTTTTTCAAGCACTGGGAATGACCTAGAAAAAAAAAATAGACAGAAAGAAAGAGATGCAAGTCATGGAGGCGGAAACATCGTCGCTCATTAATTAAGAAAAATGATGCATCACTTTTTGTAATAAGGGACAAACTTGCTGTTTGGGATGGTGTCAGAGTCTGTCGTTGTTTACACACATATCTGTTTACACTGAGGCTCCCGTAGCAACATGGGAGGGGGCTCGAGTATCTTTAAAAAGTTGTGATGTATGTCCGTCTAAGATTAGCGTTAAGCGCGTGTTTGTGGGTGTTTCTCCTTCTTAATCTTTTTTTTGCCTTCATTATTTGCTCCTGTGTTTGAGGTTCAGATTGTAGGATGTCAGCCAGGATTAACAGCGGTAAGTAAACTGGAGGTCAGTAACCTGAATAGTGGGTCAATTAATGAGATTCTTGCATTGTGTCCTCCACTAAAGACTATGGACTATTTAATCAACCGAGCCAGCAGAGGGCCAGGGGGCCTCAGATCACCAGGTTCCACTGACTGGATGTGTGTGAGCCGCTAATTTAGTTTCGACCAGTTTACCTGGGGTGACGGGTTTTACTGTTGATGATGCAACTTGAGAAAAGCAGAAAAGGAGCCTCTAGTTCATCTGTCTGAACTGCAGATACATTGATAGTGCTGTCAGCAGTTGTTGTGGTTTTTCACTTCTTGATTCATTTAATTATTTAGTTTGTTCCAAAAATAGAAACTTTTGAAGCTAACGAACCAACCGGCTGAATACATATCCAAAATGTGGATTTAAAAAACATTTTGTTTCTGATCTGCAGAGTCTCTGTCATGAACATCCACACACTTCCTGTCAGCGCCTGTGTTTCTGATCGGACTTAAAGCCGATCGTTCGCTCTTACTGACGTTGTTCCCTCCGCTCCAGATCTTTGCTCATGTTGTATTTACTCTCTGATGTTCGGCGATTTGGATAAAAGAGTCTCCTAAACGAATCGTAGACTCGTAGAATAACTGTGATCAGTCCTCTCGTTTCGCTAAAAATGGCAAACAGAAAGTATAAAATAAAATAAAAAAGGAAATTAAATTATTGTATTCAAATTCTTTATTTGAAAGTACAGCTCTATTATTCTTAACTTACCTTAAGTATGAAAAGTATTCTTCATGCAGAAAACCAATTTCAGAGTAGCGGTGGGGAAAAAGATCGATTTATTTATCTTATCTTATCTTCTGGGAATTAAAATAAATTCAGAAATTTCAAAAATCAAATTTTCTGTTTTGACTGATCAGTCACTCCCTGCTAAATGCTAATGCTAACTCTTTAACTCAGTAGATTGTCAAATAGAGCATCATGAAATTCAGCCGGTCTCACAGACGACTGGAGTAGATCCTGAAGTATCGTGTATCATGAATCCAGAAGCGTTTTGAATTGATCGTGAGACGACGAAAGATTTCCAGCCCTACTTCAGAGTTTCATCACATATATGATTTAATAAACACAAACAGAGGAGTGACAAAGACCAGAGCAGCAAAATAAGACTGTGGGTAAAGGTTCAATCAGAGAGGCTTCACTGTGACATTTAGTCGACCTGTGTCTGAACTTGACCAGAGGGATGAACACATCTCTACAGAGAAATATTCCTCTCCAGGTGTTTAACGCGGTCGTGTTCCTGTGAGTCTAAAGATTATCATCATTATCAAACTTATTAAACCATTCAGGGACTAATGACAGTCCCTCTAATATAGATCTAAATATTAAGAAGGCGATCTCGCAGAAAGACTCTGTATTGATTTGGACCGGTAACTCTTAAGAGGACAAATGGACTCTCTTCCACTCTCTTTCCCTCCCCCTCTCTCTCTCTCTCTCTCTCTCTCTCTCTCTCTCTCTCTCTCTCTCTCTCTCTCTCTCTCTCTCTCTCTTCTCTCTCTCTCTCTCTCTCTCTCTCTCTCTCTCTCTCTCCTCCCTCTCTCTCTCTCTCTCTCTCCATGTAATTTGAGCCTGATTGTCTCTGCTGACGCCGTCTGATTAGATCCTGCATTCACATTAAATAATCCACCTGAGGAAGTGTTGCTTCTCTCCTCTTCTTCATACATCACTCTCAGCGTCGCTTTTTAAACGATGCGTTCCCCTCAGATCTAAACCCAGTTGTACCTTCAGCACTTCAGCCATCTTTCCCGATCGATAAATCCTCTGTTTCATTTTTATAAATGATCTGCGTCAGATTGTCTCAACGTTTTTTATACGTCCAACAGAGCAGGATTCGATGTATTTGTGTTTCTAAACTCTTCATTAGGTGTTTTTCTTGAATTCATCACCGCTCAGGATACTCTGACTTTCATAAAGGCTAGTTAGTGATACACATTTTATAAGATTATCCTCAATTCTGAAAAACAAACAAACTAGTTATTATAGTAGCCAGACAAATGAAGTGACGTTAAACGTGCAATATTTGATTCTCAAATTATAGAATAGTGAGAATTACTCTAAAATAAATCCACTCAAAGTACTAAAATGATTCTTTAGAGGGCAGGACTTTAGACTCAGAGCTTCATTTATTCTTTCTGTAGCTGTTTTAATGGTCACAATACTGAAGCATCAACGTTTAACAGACTAGAACGCAGCCTCATGGATTTCTTATCAGCTGTCGTTTTGGAGCAAAGCCACTTAAACTCTGAAGTATTATATAAACTCCTTCTGTCCCCTGCAGACTCTCCTCATCTGCATAATAACCGATGCGTTACTGTGCAGTAAAACACAGGATGTTTACCATATCTTGATCCTCTCCCTCCATAGGTCCCAAAGCCCTATCTCCTCCTTGTGGCTTTCACCCTCTTTGTCACCCCCGACAAAAGATCACAATAACCATGACAATCTCATCTTCAGGCGCAGGGGGCTGCAGCAGGGCACGGTATAAAGAGACAATCAAATGAGAGCGGCGGCGGGGACAAACAGAAGGGGGGGGGGCAAGGAGTGTGAGAAAGTAAATAGTAAAAAATGGGACAGCGACGCTTCACCACATTCAGAAGCAGACTTTCAGATTTACATGCAGACAGTCTGAAGGCGTCGAGCAGGGGGGGGGGGGGGATGTAACAGCTCCATCCAAGAGCCTCGCTAGCTTCCTGTAAATGTGTCCATAGATGAACGCTCCCAGGGGTCTGCGTCTGACTGACTCTACACTTACTACATCTCTGCAGCCGGTAACAGGCTGCCTGCTCGACCTCCTCAAGCAGCCTGAGAGATGAAGGCAGAGATGGAGGCATGAGAAAAGAGGGACAGACAGAGAGAGAGAGAGAGAAAATCAATTTCTGGAACAAATGCAAGTCAGCAGAAAAAGGGCGATGAAATGTCTGTTTAAGCACTCTGCAGTATTTTCCATATCCGCCTTTCAGTGTATAGAAAAATGTATAGAAAGAGCCCAGAGCGGGGTTAGTGTAAATACATCCAGATATCGAGTTAAGCAGGAAAGCAGACATTAATAGAGTGTGGTGTAGCTCAGTTAATGTTGTTTAAAGATCAGGACATTATTGCCAGTAAAGCAGGACCTGTGACATGCTGAACATGTTTTCACCTCTCCACTTTGCGCTCAAATAGCTGCGTTAGCTCTTAAAGTATTTATGATTTGCACCTGCTGCTGCGTCGGCAAATTCCTGTTGTTGTTTCCTGTGGGCGAGTGGGCGAGGAAGGTAACCCGTCTGCAGCTTGTAAATCTTTTGCTTTTTACTTTAAAAACATCTCTGAGGACGATAATAATAATTCCATGTCCACAGAAAAAAATCAAATTGAATCTTTGTCAGACGGATTGACATTCAGTGGACGAGCTCCAGGATTTTGTCTCCTGATTGCGTTAAGCAGAGCGCTCCTGGCTCTCTCTTCAGCTGCAATGAGACCTGTTCAGACACACAACAAAGATGTCGAGACCGTTTGGAAGGACATGACGTACTTAAATCAGCTGTCCAAAGATAAATATGATGGATTAAATAATGACAGATGGGATTAGAACAAAGAAATATATATCTTCCACCTTTAGCTGTCAAATTGACCTCATGTTTTCAGGTTATTTCCTCCAGGTCTAATTTGTTATTAAAGCTTATTTCTTTCCCTCTTCATGCACCTTGGTAGTTGGTGAAGTTGTGCCAGAAAATCCTCTGCTTCTTCAGGTTATTTCCTCCTGAAATTAAAGTCTAATACAGATCAGTCCTGCACGGTATGAAAAGAACAAAGCGATGTTGGATATCTTTATCAGGTGCGATAAATAAACACATACTAAAAAGTCCATATGAGTTAGAAGTAGAGCCCGACCGATTATTTGGCCAGCCGATAATATCGGCCGATATTTGCATATCCAGTGACTATCGGGATCGGCTAATTTGATCTCCGATATGCGCTGATATAGGTTTATTCACCAGTCACATAGCATTTTATTACACTAGCAGTTCTGTCACCAGCAGAGGGCGCGATATGGATTACAACAAGCGGAGATGCACGTACATGCACAGT